GGGCTTATAATACTTGTCTCAGAGACCACACCCTTCAGTATCTATTGCACATCAATGTAAAGAAAATAAAAATCTTCACAACTGGACCAGTAAATAACATCATGATAAATGAACAAAAGATTGAAGTTATCAAAGACTTTATTTTTGCTTAGATCTACTGTCAACAGTCAAGGAAGCAGCAGTCAAGAAATCAACATATTGTATTAGGCAACTCTTCTACACAAAGATATTAGTTAAGGACTAAGGTGCGCCTGATCCAAGCCATGGTATTTTCAGTGGCCTCATATGCATGTGATAGTTGAACAATGAATAAGGAAGACCATAGAAGAATTGATGCATTTGAGTCATGGTGTTGGAAAAGAATATTAGCAGTACCATGAACTGCCAGAAAAACAAACAAATATATGTTAGAAGAAGGGCAGCCAGAATGCTCTTTAGAAACCAGAATGGTCTTTCATACATTGGTCATGATATCAGCAGAGACCAGTTCCTGGAGAAGGACATCATGTTTGGTACAGTGGAGGGTCAGCCAAAAAAAAAAAAAAAGGAAGACCCTCAAGAAGACAAATTGGCACAGTGGCAGCAGCAATGGGCTTACGTGTAACAATGATTGTGAGGATGGTGCAGGGATAGGCAGTGTTTTGATGTGCTGTAAACAAATGAATGGTTGCGGACTTATGGTGGTACACAATTTGAGAGCACAGCTATTAACCAAAAAAATTGGTGGTCCAAACCCACCCAGTGACTCCAAAGGTAAAATGACCTGGCAATCTGCTCCCAGAAAGATTTCAGCCTAGAAAGTCATATGGGGAAGTTCTAGTGTGTTACGTAGCATCACTTCAAGTCAGCATTGACTCTACATCACACAATACAATCCTGAGCCCTTCCTGATTCTCTGAGTTCCACAGTGTGAATCTACCTGCATACTCTAAAGCATCACTAAACAGTGGGTCACTATACCATCGAACAGCACTTACTGCTGGGTTGTCTGTAAAAATGTGGGAGAACAGAAATCCATAGGAAAAAAAGTCTACAGTTCTTTGGCCCAGAAATAACTGAGCATTTCTAAGCAGATTGTTGCCTCTCTTTCTATGGAGACGTTAATCAAATAACCCAGCATTTTTATATCTAATTACAAAAAGGTGTGGGAAATTTTTAAATCGAGTAATCTAACCAAGAAAGATAACTCCCTTTGTGGTTTCCTTCCGTATTTTGTTAATATGGTAAAAAAATACCTTCTTCCTCTTTGGTAGTGATAGGACTGCTGTTGTTTTGCTGTTAGGTGCTGTCTTGTGGGTTCTGGTTCTGACTCATAGTGACCCAATGTGACAAAAGTAGAACTGTCTCATGTGTTTCCTAGACTGCAATCTTCGACAAGAGCTCTGTACGACTGTGTCTCATGTACTTTGGGTGTGTCATTAGGAGAGATCAATCTTAGAGAAGGATATGGTTGCTAAAGTAGTTGTTGTTGTGTGCCATGGAATTGGTTCTGACTCTTAGCAATGCTGTATTGAGTTTCTGAGAGAGGCTGTTGAGTTTGAACTGCCAACCTTGCAGTTAGCAGTTCACTGTTGATCCTATAGCGCGATACCAGGGCTCTGGTAAAGTATAGGTCCAGCAATAAGGGGACCCTCAATGAGATGGACTGACACAGGGAATACAAAAATGGTTTAAAACATAGCAATGACTGTAAAAATGACACAGGCCGACAGGGCTTTTTTTGTCGTTGTACATAAGGCCACTAACAATAGCAACAATTTTATTTCATTTTGCATCATTATGTCTTTTCTATTTCTGAGCTGTTTGGGGACTTTTTGTTAGAAATGAATCCTGATGTTACATAAAAGACACTCGGTGAGACTAAATTACCTTGGCAAAGCAAAATTCACGCCTGCAAGAGGGTGTGTGCGCGTAGCCGTACATACAGGAACAGGCCAGCGAGCACACCAAGTGGGCAGTCCACTCGGGTGTATAATCCCTGATGTGAGTCTCAAGGCTGTGTCTCACCCTGTTGGCTAGGGTTTTGACTGCACAATCTTTTCCCTTACCCGTTTGGCTAGTTCAAATTTTTAAGGCGCACATTCCTATTTTAGGAAAAGAAAAAGAGAGCTATCATAAAGTCTTTACTCCAGGAAGTAGTGAAAAGAAAAAGAGAGTGATCATAAAGTCTTTACTCACTTCAGGAAGTAAAAAAAGAAAAAGAGAGTGATCATAAAGTCTTTACTCACTTCAGGAAGTAAACAAAGAAAAAGAGAGAGATCATAAAGTCTTTACTTCAGGGGGAAAAAAAAAAAAAAAAGGTTACCCGAATACAATGAACAGGATTATAATATATATATATATTCCCCCCGCCCATTTTGAACCACTGACCTTTCAATCAGCAGCCCAGAGTTTAATCAATTGGCCACCAGGAACCCTTAGTATTAGGACTGTTGTCATTGTTGTTTAGTGCTGTTCAGATCCCGCTAACTCATAGCGACCCTATAGGGTTTCCGAAGAGTGACTGGTGGGTTTGAAGCACCACCTTGTGTTTCACAGTCTAGTGTTTATCCTACAGCACTACACCAGGACTCCAGTATTAGGACAGACGTTGTTTTACATGCCATTGAATTGGTTCCAACTCATAGTGTCCCTGTATAAGGTCTCCAAGGAGTGGCTGGTGGGTGCAGTCGAGTGCCTATTCCATAGCACCACACCAGGACTCCAATATTAGACGTGTTGTTGTTGTTGCTAAGTGTCAGTTGAGTTGGTTCCGATTCATAGCAACCCTATGTGGGGTTTCCAAGGAACAGTTGGTGAGTTTGAACTGCCGACCTTGCGGTTCAAACCAACTTTGCAGTCCAGTGCATTATCCTGCAGCACCACATCAGAACTCTAATATTATTGTTGTTAAGTGCCGTTCAGTCAATTTCGATTCATAACGACCATGTATAGGGTTTCCGAGAAGCAGCTGGTGGGTTTGAACTGCTGACCTTGTGGTTCTCAGTCCAGTGCTGATCCTGTAGTGCCACACCAGACGTCCAGTATTAGACTGATGCTGTTGTTAAGTGCTGTCCAGTCAGTTCCAACTCATGGCAACCACGTATAGGGTTTCCAAGGAGTGGCTGGTGAGTTTGAAATGCGTACTTGGCGGTTCAAACTGACTTTGCTGTCCAGTGCTTTATCCCATAGTGCCACACCAGGACTACAGTATTAGACAAGCATACCTTTATTTTTCTTTTTAACAATGAAAGAGGAGGCCAGAGGCACAGAGCCTTGGAAAGCATTAATGTCTAGTGAGATTGCAGTAGGTCAGGTTCATTTCACGATCTCTGTCTGTAATTGGGCATGGTGGCATGAGTTTGTAATTATTGACTAAGACCAAGGAGGTAAGTCCAGGTGAGCATTCCAGGTGGTCTCCTGCTACAGCCAGCCATTTGTTGTTTTTATTCTGTGCCGTGGAGTCGGTTCCGACTCATAGCGACCCTGTACAGGGTTTCTGAGGCTGTAAATCTTTATGGGAGCAGAAATCCTCATCTTTCTCCTGCGGAACAGCTGGTAGCTTCGAACTGCTGCCCTTAAGGTTTCCAGCCGGATTCACCACAGCCTACCATACGAGTTTTCAATTAAAAGTAATATAAAACTTCCTTTTTAATATAAATTTATTTCAGTAAAATTTTAAGTCTATTAAAAAATGTTAAGCAAATAGTCCAGGTGGTGGCGAGCTCATTGGTTTTGTAGGATAAGCACAGGACTGCAAACCACAGATGAGGTTTTCTGTTTCTTTAAAGATTTACAGGGTGGCTATGAGTTGGAACTGACTTTATGGCACACCACAACGATAACAGTGCAATATGAAAGTCTAACAGAAATCATGACTGTGTTTTCAGGAAGCCCTCACAGGGGTTCTTCTCTAGTTTTGATGTTGTTGTTAAGCGCAGTCGAGTTGACTCTGACCCATAGAGAACCTGTGTAGGGTTCCAAGGAGCAGCTGGTGAGCTTGAACCACAGACCTTGCAGTACAAACCACTTTGCAATCTTATGCATTAGACCACAACACCACACCGGGACTCCGTTTTTGATGTTCTAAGACCAGAATTTAATTCATGGGTCACTGATGTTGAGAGTACAGGTCCCTGTTGTATGAATTCCGATTTCCAGTTTTACTTTGGCTTTATCTTCTATCTCTTCCCACACTTTTCCCTCTATTCTCTTATCTTGCTACTCCATATCCTTTCAGGGGAGAAATAATTGTCCTGGAGATGGTGGGGAATAGGCTGGGGGTTGGGGGTGGGGGCGTAGTGGGAGTTCATATATATCTTTGTTTCAATAGTGTGACGACGCCCAGAGATCCTGGGTACTCACTTTTCTGCGTGATGTGAAATGGTATCAAAAGCCCTGGGAAGTTTTAATTCTGCCAAGCGGACAGGAACTGCGCTTCCAAAACTGCTTGGGCAGCGGTATTATTTGACCCTCCTTGGCTTTAGCTTCCACAGCCACTGTGAGAGCATTTACATGTTGGAAGTGTGAGTGAATCACTCAGTGGAGAAAAGAGGAGGAGCTACAGGTGCGCCTTCAGCCCCACCTTTTCCTGGTCAGCATTATATTGACCTTCAGTCCGTCTCCCTTTTCTTCCCAACCTCTTGGAGTGGATCCTTGGAGCCAGGGGTTGGCGGTGTGGATAGGAGCAGGGATGGAGACTGGCTCCCAGAATAAGGGAGCTCTGCTACACTGGGAAATAACGTCCTAGAGACCCAGCTGCGCGACCCTAGGTTCCCTGGAAAGCCCAGCCTTCTAGAAAAGCTGGGTTTGGAGTCCCACTTCTTTAAAGAGTTTTCAGGAAGTTTGGGGGAGGGGCGAGCGACGCTCTCCCGTACTCCGGGCCACCGAGGCTGTGGAGGGACTTAAGCAACAGCAGCAGGTCTCGCCACAGTCACGTTCCCGTCCTAGGGCAGGCTCGGGTGCTCCGGCTGGGTCTGCGGGACACTGACAGGGGCGGCGGGGCAGGCGCGTAGGGCGGCATGGAGCCGCTGGTCCTGTTCAACGCCCTGGCGACTCGATTCTTGTTCGTGCTGCACTCACTGGTCGGGGTCTGGCGAGTCACCGAGGTGAAGAAAGAGCCGTGGTACTGGTTGCTTGCATTGCTCAACCTCCTGCTTTTCCTGGAGACCGCGCTCACTCTCAAGTTCAAGCGCGGCAGAGGCTACAAATGGTGAGCGCGTCCGCGGGAAGGGAGAGTGCATGGGGTTCCCGGGTACTGTCTCCTGCCACACGCCCGGCAGCCCAAACGCCAATCTCTCTGCATCCCTCTGATTCTTTGTCCTTCCTGCGAGCCTGGAAGGCGCATGAGAAGCTCGCGTGGTTCTTGAACACGCCTGGGGTACCCACCTCGAGGTTGCACGGTGAGAGTGGCTGGAGCTGTGAGCGCAACCAGGCGTCACTCAGTCTCAGTTTGGGGAACTTGGAAGGAGACAAAAAAGAGCAATCACGCCTGTCTGCTTTGCAGAAAAAGCCCCCGAGTGAGTGGAGTAGTCAGGGGGAAATCAGGGCTCCTTGTGCTCTGCTTTCTGAGTTTGGGGTGTGTGTGGGTGAGCGCGAGTTGCTCTGCGTGTAGGCAGGTATGGGAATGCCCTTCGCTGGGTATCAGCGACCTTTGCCGGAGCTTCGGGCTCCAGCCTCGCAGGGCGAGAAGCCCCTCGCAGCGCATCTGTGTCGCTTCTCTTCCTCCCAGTCGTCGGCGCTCTGTGCTCCCTAGCGCGGCAGCTGCTTCTGGTTCTCGGTTGGTGACTTCGGAGGTTGCCAGTGGCCAGATAACCTTGCCAGAGACCAGTTGCCCCGACCAGAATGTGGTGGTCCATAATTAAACTCACCATGCAAAAGGTTCTATGGTGCTTTTTTTCCACTCTAAAGACCTGAATGGTAATGGAAGAATTGAGAAACAGATCCCCTTGCCATTTAACTACAAAGAACTCCTCCCCCATCCCAGTGCATTTTCAAATTAGGCCTCTTCCTTGATTAAATTTTTTTTTTTTAATGGTGAGGCTGTGTTTCGTATTTACCCATACTTTTTAAACGTACACTTAATGCTTGTTCTTGTTACTGTCAAGTACTGTTGAGTTGGTTCCCACTCATAGCGACCTTGTATTGGGTTTCCAAGAAGCAGCTGATGGGTTTGAACTACAGATCTTGTGGCTAACAGCCTGTGCTTATCCTACAGCACAACACCAGGAGCCCACACTTAATGCTAAGAGAAAGAAAACACTAGGAACCAATTCAAGAATTATATACACAATGGCATTAAATTTAACCACTATATTCAGAAAATAGACATCCTTCTCTAGGTTTTGACAGTCTATGGAAGGATATGTTGTCTCTTAAGATAATGTGAATCGTCCTTAAATTTTCGACTTTTGGGAAATTTGTAGAACTAAGAATCAAAAAATTCTTCAAGTATAATGTTAGTTGTACACAAGGAAGATTACAGTGATATCCTCCCTCCCCCAAATGAGCAGTCTTTTAAGCAGAAGAGATTGAGTGTGCCTTTTGGAAATCTCAAAGACAGACTGTTTCAACTTTCCCAATAAGCCTCAGGGTTGAAGAAATAAAAATGGAGGAAAATGTTTGCTCACCCAGCAGGTCACATAAGATAAATTTAGTTTTCACTGGGTGGTTTTCATACATTAGGGTAGAAATATCTTGAGTATCACTAGAATGAAGTGTGACACTGAAAAATAGTCCATGTAAAGTAGTTCTGCCACCTCTTTTCAGAGCTTCTAGGAGAAATGTCAACCTCAGAAGAAGGGCCAAACTCAAGGCCCTGAAATGATTACCCCCCATCCCCCCATCCCAACTCTTTTAAGTCAAAATCCTATTCCAGTTGTTGGAAATACTGTAGCAAAGGAAACTTTATCTTCATGTCTATAACATCATTGGCAACTGATTCATACAGATAAGTAACTTGAAACCAAGAAAGGAGAAAAGAGTTGGGACAAAAATCTATAGATGGTCCATCATCATATTTAGTCAAGTAGAGTACATGGTGGTGTTTCTAGTATGAACTTCATAAATGGACAAGTACTGGGAGACTATCTGGGCTTTCCTACTAAACTTGCTGTGGGACTTTGAATAAATTACATAACCTCTCTGACTCCCAGTTTACTCTTCTGTAAATATTTACCTCATAAGGTTTTTAAAGAATGAAATGAGATAATGTGTTAGTGGACTAAAAATAAAACGATCTATTCTATATCCTAAGATTTATATTTCTTTTATTTTCCAATATTCTTTGAGTGATATGGACAGATTTTCTGTTTGTTCTAGCCAAGCCGCTTTACTTGAGGGATTTAGCCAATAAACTGCTGGTTTCGAGCAAAAGAATTGAAAAAAAAAAACACCAAACACACACACACGAAAAAAAACATCCCTCACCTGTATTTCATAAGAACAGGCCTATCATGTATTATATATCATGACACTAATTCATGAACATCTTGCTAACTCAATGTCTAACCTAATATTTAAAAATAATCTAAGAAGCCATTTGATAGAATTAGCTTATTATAAAAAATGTCAGGAAGAAATGAGTGCGAATGATCTAAATAGAAATATGATTAGTAACACGTTGTACTACCAATGCTACCCAATATGATTGAGTCTGAAAACATGGCAATTTGTGTGATGGAAAAAAATTCATACACTACTAGGCCATAGATTTGCTTTTTAGAAAAAAACAAAAGACGAACTGTTAAAAATATAGGAAATGATCTTTGAAATAATCTGGTAACAAAAGGGTTTGGTTTGGAATACATCATTTCATTTATATGATGAAGTGTTTTTTCCTTTCAATTTCCTTTTTTTTTTTACTTTTTATTGTGATTTGGGTGGAGTTTTACAGAGCAAATCAGTTTTCCATTGTAGTTTATACAAATTCAGTTTCATGCCATTGACAGTAATTCCCACAATGTAACAACACTTATCTACTTTTTCCCCCTTTCATTTCTGTCCTTCCTATCCCTTTCTGCCATATGGACTGCCCCTGGGTAAACTCTGACCTTAGAAGGTTGATGTTCTAAGGAGTGGATACCTTCCGGTTATTGTTCACTTATGCACGTGTCTATTGTTTGGCTAGAAGTTAAGCCATCCCGGGTGAGTGATGAGCTGACTTCCAGACCTGAAGGGTGACTTAAAGTCATAGTCTCATGCTTCTACCAGTCTCTATCAGACTAATGAGTCTGGCCTTTTATATGATTTTTGAATCTTGTTCATCATTTTTAGCCTACTCTACCCAGGACCTTCTAATGAGGTCCTTTTCAGAACAGTCAGTAGTGGTAGCTGGGTACCATCTTGGTCTGGTTTCAGGTTGTGGGTTCAGTGGTCTGTTCATCCTTGGGACGACATGCCTCCATGAATCTTTCGTTTTCTTCTGCTTTCTTTGCGGCAGACAGACAGACACAAATAGTTGCACCTTAGATGGCCATTCATAAACTTTCAAAACCCCAGTTGCTATTCACCACATAGAATGTAGATCGTTTTTTTTCGTTGACTTTGTTGTGCCAATTGACTTGATGTACCTAGAGACTATAGTCCTGAGCCTCTAAGTCCAGTGATTCATTCCCTCAAGGTGTTTGGTTACGTTAAGATGTTTTACAAATAATCAAAGGAGATATCTGATAGAATTAGCTAATTATAAAATGTCAGGGAGAAATGAGTCTTTGCAAGTGATTTGAATAGAAATATGATTAACAATGCTCTGCTCTATGAATGTTACCAAGTAGGACTGAATCTGCACTCATGGAGATTTGTGTGATAGGAAAAGTTTGTTTATCCATTCTTCTGTTGATGGGCATTTAGGTTGCTGCTTTCTTCTTGCTGTTGTGAACAGTACTGCAATAAGCAAGGGTGTCCATAGATTTATTTATGTTTGTAATAGTTAGGGTTCTGTGTCACCTTGACTAGGTTAGGATTACCTGTGGTTTAGAAGCTGAGATGTGCTTATTCCCATGTTGATGAAACCTAATATAAGCATAGTTAACTCTATGATATTTGGCCATGAGCAGACAATCAACTGAAAGGATGTTTCCTTGGGGGTAAGTCCTGCCCCCAATGTAATCAACTCACAGGAGAGGATCTTCTGGTGTAGACATGGTACTCTACAATTGCAAGTCAGGGTCCTTGGTTAATAAACTATCTATCTATCTATCTATCTATCTATCTATCTATCTATCTATCTATCTATCTATTTATCTATCTATCTAGACTTGACAGCACTGAACAACAACATATATATATGTTAAGTACCTTCAAGTCGATTCCAACCCATAGCGACCCTGTATAAGGTTTCCAAGAAACAGCTGGTGAGCTTGAACTGACGACCTTGCAGTTCAAATGGCTTTGCAGTCTGGTGGTGCATTAATCCCCAGCACCACACCAGGACTC